TCTCTTTTCATCCTCAAGGGCATTCGTTTCTTCATTACCAGTGAAGGCCATGAGTTTGGTCAATCCTATTTTCATGTATCTAACATCATAGAGTTGTTTACAGTTGACCTTTTTCAGGTTCTGAGGATTGGTCAAACCCAAGCCTTCTTTGGCATTATAGAAACGAGTGTCCTTAGGCTGGTTAAGGAAAATAGTCTGATCTGTTTGGTCCCTTTTGGCTAACAGATCCTCAAGTTCTTTGATTTTAGTATACAGAGCACCCCTTCTTTCCATTAGCAAGTTATTTACTCCAAAAAGCCTAATTCTTTCTTTTTCAGTTGTTCTAAGTTTCTCTGTCAACTCTTTCTCACTAGCACTAAGTCGCTTATTCTCAGTTGTGAGTTTAGTGATTGTTTTCTCTGAATTGATTATCTTAATGTTTGAGCATGTCTGTTTTTCACGCAGTTGGTTATACACCTCATACAACCGTTTGTAATTCACCTCTAGCTCCTTAAATTTATCATGCATATCTGTTCTAGAGCAGTTATGAATAGATGAATTAGAGGTACTTACTTCGTTGTCAGCATTTCTGTTCTCAGCAGTCAGGGCAGTTGCTACATCAGCATTGGTTGCAGTAGACAGGTTCTTCTTCTCCTCAGCTTTGTTCTTCTCTTTTTCATCAGCAGCAGGGGCTGACTTCATCTTTCCTTCCTTCTCAGCATCCTTCTCTTTCTCTTCTTCTTCAACCACTGCCATCAAGGGCAGATTCTCTTCCTCATCAGAATCATCCATCCAGTGGTCTTTTTCATCCATGAGAGCACTCTTTTCCTTGTTTTCTTCCATAGCCAGCAACATCTTCTTCTTGTTCAGATACATCTTCTGCTTGTAGTACTCAGCATCCTTCTTCCTCTTAGGCATCCTGCAGTCCTTCATCAGATGTCCAGTCTTCCCACAATTGAAGCACTTTGGAGCATCCTCAGCAACAATATTCTCAGATGAATCAAAAGATCGCTCTTTTCTTTTGCTGTTGCTGGTAGAGGACTTGAGGAGCCTGTTGTTAGAGGAGTTCTTCTTCATCTGCATATGATTGTTGAACCTCGAAGTAAGAAGGGCTATTTGCCTCTGAAAATCATGCATCTCATCATCATCTGAATCATTCTTAAATCCAATGTCACTGTCAGAACTTTCACTTTCTTCAACGATCATCTTATCCTTCTTGGAGCCAGACTTCGATGGCTTGTCAAGCATCAGGGCAAGGGTGTCAGCAAGCTTGTCCACAGCTCCCTTCCCTTTGTCAGCTGTCACAGTGGCTACCACAAGATCAGAAAAATCTTCTGCATACTGGTCAAGTGTGTTGTACACAGCATGAATGTCCATCTCATCAAGGTCTTTCGTGTGCCTTATCTGTGAGCTCAGCTTCTTCCAGTCAGCTCCAAGAGAAGATAGAAATCTCACATTCAGTTCCATGTTGGACTTATGCACGCCAATCTTTCTCATCTCATTTATCAGTTGCAGAAATCTCAGGTAGGTGTCTTCAAGTGATTCTCCGAGCTTGGCTTTGAATGAGTCGTAAGCAGTGAATGTGCTAGCTTTCTTTGCCTTTACTCCGATCTCAGTGCCTTGCATGATCTTGAAGATCTCATCCCACATCTCTTTTGCAGTTGACATGCTGTCAATCTGCATATAGATGTCGTTCGGGATGGCCTGCAACAGGTAGGTCTTGGCAATGAGATCTGCCCGGAGTCTTGCTCTGTCTTCGTCATCATATTCATCAACAGTCTTGGGTCTCCACTCAATCTCAACAGGTGGGTTGTTTCCGTTCTCTCTCAACAGCTATCATCAATTGTGCAGGTCCATTCGTGATAGAGTCAAGAAGACCTGAGGATTGGTCCTTGCTTTCAAGAAAATTTAAGAATCTGTTCTTCCATACGTTGTACTCCCCTCTTCGAAGAATCGGGGGTCTTGTATCGTTTCCAATCGATAGTGCATCCATGTTTAAATTGATCGGGCTGATCAGTTGATTGATTTGATTCTGTTCAGTTGTTAGGTAATTCCGGCAGAAGGTTCTTGTTCAGAAAAGTTGTAAGTGTGAGATCGCGCAAGTGTTGGAAGATCGCTCAACTTCACGAAAGATTGCTCAACTTTAGAAAGGATCGCTCAACTTTATAAAAAGATCGCTCAAGTCTTAAAACAATCTCTCAACTTAAAAAAATCTCTCAAGAGTACAATCGCTCAAGGAGAATCGCTCAACAAAAAAAAATGCTCAAGTGTGCGAGATTGCTCAAGTCCTGGATCGCGCAAAAGCTATTGTGGTATGAAGTCCGAAATCGCGCAAGTCCAAATATCGCGCAGGGGGTGTTTTGCGCGAAACTGGGATCGCTCAATTGAGGCAATGATCGCGCAAATGTGGAATGTTGCGCAATCCTCGAGATCGCGCAGGACGTCCTTTAGCGTGAATCTGTTCTTCTCTCTGGCGAGTTGCGCGAACCTGTAGAATCGCTCAAATCGAGCTTAACCTGTACGCCAACTCTCAGATCGAGATTTTTCACAGAGATGATCCCAGCAAGCCTAGAAACACTTTTCTTCAGGCATTTTCCTGCAAAAATCACAACAAAAACAGAACAAAAAATCGCTCAAGTGCGAAACTTCGACGATGAAGAATCGCGCAGGAGTGATTTTCAGCCTTCAATCGATCGATCAGCTCCGGCTTTGATACCAGATGTTAGGTCCCTGTTTTCTAGACTAGAATATGTATGTATGGAAGATAGATCGAGAATGAAGCTTTCCATTGATGTGATGAAGAAGTTTACAGAATGATATGAATGTTAGCGTAAAACTTCTATCACGAGAATAGGCACTGCGGCACAGAGAATGTTGAAAAGCTTAACCTAGCCTTTCCCTTAAGGCATATATATAGCCTGACGGGAAAGGTAGGTTTTACAATCATTTGGGCTCCCTTTTCTAGGAGGCCCATACTTAAAAAGGTATAAAACCTTTTATTACAAATTACCTTAAAAGGCCTATTCATTATTCTAGCTAACTATAAACTAGCAAAGTAACATTGATCACAATTACAATAAAAATATCTCTAACAGCAATCATATTCTTAATCACTTTGACTCTAAGCTTTCTTCTTGGAAACAAAAAAATCTTGCCCAAGGAGGAAGACTTACTTTGATCAAATATGTTCTCAGTACCATTCCAAATCATATATTTGCCACTGATTGCCTCCCTAAAAAAGTTGTTTCAACTTTAGAGAAAAAAATGGCTTCATTCTTCTGGGGTTCATCTGCAGATAAGAAGAAATATCATTGGGTTAAATGGTCTAGTCTATGCTATCCTACTGATGAGGGGGGGCTGGGGATTAGAGCCTTATCTGATGTTGGAAAAGCTTTTTCTCTTAAATTATGGTGGAAGTGGAAAACTCATAATTCTCTCTGGTGTCAGTTTATTAAAGCGAGGTATCCTAGAGGAGAGGATATGATGCCTAAAATCACTGATTCCAATATCTGGAGAAGACTTTGTGGAATCCATGAGTTGGCTTCTAATTTATGTTCATATGAACCTTCAGGCAATCTACAATGGGATCCTGGCATCCATGGGCTCTTCTCTATAGCATCTGCATATAATGAAATTCGGAGCACCAGATCAGTAACTTTCTCAGACAAACACATTTGGCATAAAAATCAAACTTTGCACATTAAGCTCTTCCTATGGAAGCTTTTAAAATCTTGCCTACCCATTTGTGATAATCTGCAGAGGTTTCATATCACTTTGCATCCCTCAAGATGCCCTTTTTGCAGGAAGCATAGTGAGACCACTGATCATATCTTTTTTGGGTGTTCTTACACCAAGGTAATTTGGCAGTATTATATGAGTGTCTTTGGAATTAAAATGCCTACTATATCTTCAATTAGGCAGATTTTGATTCTTTGGTGGATTGAGGCGGGTTCAAGGACTATGGCTGATCTTTATAAACACATTATGCCTGGTATCATTACTTGGCATATATGGAAAGTTTATTCCTCTTACACCTGGGGTTCGATTTCTATTCCAAGACCTGAGCATCTGATTGTTCAAATCAAACTATACACGCAGAACTGGGCCTACACCTTGAGCAAAACAAAGAGAAGGAAGGTGGACGATTTTCTCTATCAAGAAAACCTTATACCCATCAATTTCAGGTTTAATCAGGGTATTCATGCTATAAAATGGAAAAGACCTAAAAAAGGCCTGAAATTAAATGTGGATGCCTCTTACCAACCTGGATTTGCAGCGGGTGGTGCCATTCTTAGAGATCGTTCGGGAAGAATGATTTGGGCGGCGAGCTTTGTTATTCTGGCGGAATCCAGTGAAGAGGCCGAGCTTCAATCCCTGATCTTCGCTACTGAGTTGGTAATGGAGGAAGGCTTCTCGGAGGTACAGGTAGAATGCGATGCTTCTCGGGTATTAGCTATTGTAATGGGTGATTCAGGAAAGTTTGCTACGTTCAGGAGGAAAGCAACGGAGCAGGGAATATCTTTCGGACATGTCTTTCGGGAAGGGAATGGGCCGGCCCATTTGCTTGCAGCTGTCTGTTTGGATTCGGCCCAAGTAATGATCTTTAATCAGGTGTCTCAATTACCCTCGGAGATAAAGAGAAGTTATTATGCTGATCTCTTTGGTTTTCCTGTCTTACGTTTATAATTCCTGTTGTAATGAGAGGTTCTGGCTCGGTCCCCCTCTCTTCTGTACTTTCTATATTATCTAATAAAAAACTGGCAAGCGACCCCCGGCGTTTGCCCCACTGATTTTGGTGGTTTGCCTTCCGGGGTAAAAAAAAAAAAAAAAATGTGTGTAGGCGAGAAAAGCTTGATTTGATTCAAGAAATTGTCCAAGGTTCATTTAGGGGCTCTTGGATCAGTTTAAATAAAGTTCCCAAAGACATTAAAGAGTCATGGTTTCAAGACTTTTTGGTAATATATTACATTTAATTTTACAAATTTTAATGCTATTTTAGCGTATAATTTCCTTTGATTTGTAGCGCCGACACACATATCGTCCTTGTGAAGTAACTATCATAAGGAAAAAGTTCAATAAGAAAATATCTTCGTGGTTGAAGAACTGTTTTCATCATGCCCGGTGTGATAAAAAGAAAGTAATCCCGCCTTGGATTTCACCAAAAGATTCGGCTGGAATGCTCGTGAAGTGGGATACAACAAAATTTAAGCAACTGTGTGAAACAAATAAGTTGAATGCAAACACTGAAGCCTGTAGGAGCGCTCCTTATTGCGGTGGATCAATTTCAGAAGTCGTTAGGGCAAAACGGCTTGTAAGATTTTACTAACAATTACGGAGTAATATGTGTATTTAAATTTTTAAACAATTTAAATCTTGATATTGTATATTGTATTTTGAACTTAAAGGAGGAAAAATTGGGGAGGACCCCCGACGCGGAAGAGGTATTGCATGATGGATATACAAACAAGAAAACTGGGCAATTGAGTGGTCCAAGAGTTCAAGCGATAGCGGTCAAGCGATAGCGGTATGTGTTCATTAAATATTGTTGTGCATTAAAATTTTAATTCTATACATCATACTGTTAATATAAACTTCGTTTGGTATTATAAAAGTTTCATTTGATATTAATATATAGTGTAAATATAAACTTCATTTCGTTAATACATACTGTTAATATCAACTTCGTTTGGTATTATATACTGTTAATATAAACTTCATTTGGTTAATATATACTGTTAATTATATAAACTTCATTTGGTATTAATATAAAATATAATCATCATTACAAGCTTAAACTTGCGAAACAGCAGATTTTGGAAACCCAAGGGGAGAACGCAAAAGTGGACAAAACGGCACTCTACATAAAACCCGTTCAACCCAACCGAGGAAGAATTATGGGCTTGGGGGCTCTCGGCCCCGAATTTTTACGTACCGGGTCTTTGAAAGCAAAATCATGTGCACCCACAGAAAGTGACCCCGATAAAGAATCTATTAAGGAGGAGTTGAAGACCTTGAGAAAAGAAGTGAAGGAATTAAGAGAGCAAGGGGCCATGCAAGCATATATGGGGGGTCCATGGATGAATCCATTTCTCTATCACGGGTATGGCCAATCTACTTCCGGTAGTCAACCACAAATGCCTCCAATGAATCATTTTCCTCCCCAAAATCATTATAATTTTCCACAACAAGGTTCATCGGCTCAACAAAATACATTTAATTTCTCCCATCAAGTTCCTCCAATGATCCCTAGCTCTTTTGGAGGTATCCCACAAGCATCTTCTTCTCAACCTCCTCCCTATTACCTGACAATGTTTCCGGGTTTTAATGGGCAAGGTCAATCATCCATGCAACCAACAACACAACCAATGCAATTCATGCCTATTCCAACTTCAAACAACAATACTCAAGATGAGAATGCGTCTTTTATTGACAATTTACTTGGGAGTGGAGGCAACAATAATGCTAATGAAGAGCAACAATGAATTGATTGTAATAGATGGTTATGCAAAGCAACTTCTTTTGTATTCATGTGTTGAACGTTTGACAACATATGCATTTTTTGTTGGTTCTGGCACTGTTTCAAGTGTTACCTAATATGCCATAGATGTATATGGCATGAATGGGATTGTATGCAGTGACTTATTATTATTTGAACTATTGTTTCATTTGGGTTTTAATTAAACGAAAGTGTGGCTTTTTTGTTCTGTGTTAAAGTGAAATGTTTTCATATGAAATTTGTGTAATTAGAATTGTGAATAATGGTGTGCATTGAATTGTGTTGAATTGATCGAATACCAAGCCAAGATTTAATTAACGAATTGAGGCTAATAATTTTTTTTGGAATGGTCAATCTGCGACGGAAATAGCCGTCAGTAAAACAATGTATTTATTCAAAAATATTCGCAAGTTAGCAACGGCAACATCCATCGCTGTCTGGAATGGAAATAGGCGTCGCGAAAATGGTCGCAAATAAGGAAATCCGTCGCAGCAAACCGTATCTAAAATTTGCGACCGTGTTATACGGACGAACATTTTCCGTCGCAAATCCGTCTCTAATTTTATCAGCAACGATATTTTCTTGCTTTCCCGTTGGTAAAACCGTAAGTAGAGAATATGGGGATGTTTCTTCTCATTTAGCTTAGACCATTTATAGAGAAAACAATACACACTAATTTATCCAAACACGTTTGGTAAAGGCAATCATCCCTTGACTCTATCTTATCGAGCTCTAAAACTTATCTTGAGGCGCCAGTTTCGAAATATAATACCTTATAAGTACCATCATATCTTGCAAAATAGATATGATGGTATAATCATAATCTATTTCTTAATATTATATCTTAAGGTAAGGGATGACTTAAAATATCATGTAAATCTGTTTAATATCGTATCATTTTTGTCCTATTTAGGGTAAATAGATTTCTAACGTATTATAAAATGTGATCACTGTGCTGTGTATCCCTTGATCGTTCATAAAAGACCTGTTTAGGGACACTTATCAAGATTTAGGTTTAATCATCCTAAATATGTAAGAGAATAGCATTAAATGCTATTATCTTAGTTATACAGAAGTCAATAAGCTCTATGATTTATCACAGGTGGAAAATAGGACATAGGATCTACCTAATCCTTAAGATATCAATAGTGCGTAATTCTATGATGTATCTCATTGTTTTAGGGTTTACCACAGTGTGTCATTTTCTACACGCTTTTAGAGATTACCTCCAAAAGCGTTTAGGGTTTTAAACGGCTTATAGTGCTCCATTTTTGGCAATCTAACATATAGAGATTACCATATCACCATATGACACTTCAAGCGTAAAATTATTTAATTTGGAACAGGCCCTTCCATATTTTAGAGCTCTAAAATTAAGTGGGATTTACAGGGGAGTACCGGAGCTGTGTGCATATCTTATAGCTCTTGATATTTAATGACATACTGTGGAACAAAATAGGCTATGTGTTGGAAAACAGATTTCGTGATAATTAGGTAAATAATTAGTTGAGAGCGATGGTAGAAAGATCTTTCCGAAAACGGGATTATAATCTTATCTCCGCTATTGTATTCTAATGTGAAGATCAGTTGACTTAGTGTGATATTAGAGTGTTATCAAGGAGACGTTTGTTTTCTTACGCTAATAGTTTGTTCCATGTGTGTACACTACTGATAGTTTAGAATATAATGTACCTTTTGACCAAGGTACATTATAACGATTAAGAATATAAAGGTTGGTTCAACCTACGTCTTTGACGTGCTCTAAATGCCTTTTAATAAAAAGGCGTTAATTTGAAACCGGTATTAATCTTTACCTTTTACCGTTTTGTTTTAGTGCACAGGGTTTGATTAATATATCTTTATAGCTTTGTCCCACCGGTGCTGGTACAAAGATATTCTTTTACCCATAGAAAGGATATCCCCGGTTGATAAAATATTATGGCCTATTCAGAAATGGGATGTTAGACTAGCTTTAGAACGCTAGTGTAAAACGTATGATAAACAACTTATACCTGTAAAAGCATTCATGGTCCAATTACGTACGATTTTCAAGGTTAATCACATTATCTCTAAATACTCAACCGTTAAGATCATATGATGAGTTATTTCATATGTAATATTACGATAAAACATAGCCCCAAATATTTGTTGCCTTAATATGAGTTTAAGGGAAATATCCAAGAACGAGATCAACATATCTAACGTATTAAACGTAGATATGTTGATCGGATTAAGATATGACAGCAAGAAGACGATGCATATCAAGGGATAAGTATTACGTGCTCTACATTCCAACTTATCACTCCGGTATTAAGTTATATGGATTGCGCTAATTGAATAAGGTCGTGTTCAATTAAAACAAAACCCTAATAATACGGTGGATCCTAAAAATATGTTGCTCTACCTATTAGTAACAGAGGACAGTGGCGGACTCAGAAAATCAGAGTCACGGGGTCCCTAAACTAATGGAACTCTCATTAATATAAAATTAAAAAAAAATTTAATAAGCATAATGTTTCATGGTTAACGTACATCGGCAAAACATTAAGATGATATAAAACAAAAAATTACATATAAAAGTCATTCTCAAGTTTACAAAAGTACCTCCTAGGCTTCATTTGTTGGAAGTATTCTATAATATATAGGTCCATCAACATGTACATAAAATCTATCCTTTTTTTGCGATGTAAAACCTATCTTTTTTATTCATGCTAAAAATCTTATTCCAAAAAAATGATTACCACTTACTTTCCACTCATTCCTAAACAAATAACACGCTAAACAAAATGCAGCATCTTTGGCAATACTGTATTCCAACCATTTATGGTCATCAAACCAATTTGAAACAAATCTACGTTTTTTTGCCGTCAATTACTTTAATAGGGAAATCATGATCCCGAAGTTGAAATGACCTTTTTTTGACAATAACTACGGCGTACACTCTCTTGAACATTAGGATGAAATCATTATGTTGTTCATGTAGATTATAGGCCAAACCGCCAAATTAGTTTCACTTTCAGCAAGTACTATATCCGATTCTTTATTTACTAAAGACGAACATTTGAATTAATATCTTAACTAATCTCGGTACTCCGAATTTCTTTAAATTTGGATACAATACTGAAATATATTTTCATCCTTCATCGTCAAATTTTAAGAAAAATCATAAATACATAAATTTATTTATTTAATCTTAACATTCAAAGAAAATATTAAAGAATGGACCCAAAGAAAATGAGTTTAAAAAAATACGGAGTATAAGGTTCAAGGAAGAAAAACTGACGGGAGGGGGAGTCAAACCCAATACCTCACATACAGAGGTAGCTTTAAGCATATGCACACTACCACTACTCCGCGGCATCTGTTTGCTTTCTTAATCGCATACATGTTATTTATATATACACATAAATTTTTGTAAAATATATGTAACATATATAGGTAAATTTTTCGAAGTCCACGGGTCCCGCGACCCCATGGGACCCTTAGTGGGTCCGCCATTGACAGAGGACCATTATTGGGATATATGTAACATCCTAAATTACACAAAAATACACTTTTCCCGAATTACATAATATAATTTAAAAATACTTGGAAGCAATAAATCAGCTGAAGAGATATGAGTTTGTCCGGATATCAATAATCATGATATTTCAAATATGTCATTGTCCCTTAAGGCGTATGTTTAGGCAAAACGAGATCGAATACATATAGTATTCTATCATCCTCGTTTGTATGAGGATGATCATTATAGCCAAATAAATCCCGTAGAATGGGATACTCTTAAGTGTATATCACGTAATACGTGATATAATACGTCCGTCAATTGTCTGCTAAACGTTTCTGTATCATGCCTCTTGGGTATCAATCGTATCATGCCTCTCGTTGATATTTCTATTTAGAATGTCCACGAGCACTTATGACAGAAAGATCCCCATTACTCCGAAATTGCATTTCTTCAGGCGCATTGATATACTTTTATAGAGATTAACCAAAGATCTTCGATCTTTGGTTAGTACATTTTGTTTTATCTTTGTTAAAGTGCTTGTGGACATTCTAAATAGAAATATCAACGAGAGGCTTCTTTACGCTAAGATAACGTAAGGACACACTTTAGCTCATATAGCAATAATGAGCTATCACTAGAGTGACACATCTAGCTGTGTTGAATAGTTTACTAAAGTGCATGTGTTTAGGGATGAGCCAAGGGATATTTAGGAGATATGACTATTATCCAGATTAACATCCCTTAATGCATTACTTATAGACACCTGTCACAATTTTTAGCTGTAAGAGTCACAAGAGTTCTTCGGGAATCAACCTCTCGTTCCACTTATTAATCTACTTTACATATACAAACGGCTTATCAACTGAGTCACTGAGATATGTTATGGCGGTATTGCCCCTTCAAGGGATAATAAGATTATCCCTTAGATATTTCAAAACCGGCACCTGAAGATAAGTTTTAGTGCTCGATAAGATCTTTCCAATGAGATAGAAAACGTCTTCAACGAGATATATAGATAGGGACACTCTCTTTGTTTATTTAAGTTTTGAATTACATCTTAGCCTACAAAGTTTGGAAATATGTCAAAACGTGAATTTACTGGAATGACGGCAAATTTAGACGGAAAATTACTCCGTTTGAGTTATGACGAGTTTATGGACAATGAGAGAGCTTAACTTAAAACATTTTGATGTTCAAAACGTATACATATATTCCACGGTATCATAGAAATATTTCCGCCTGATAGTACATTAGAAGTTACTTTGAGTACGCAATGTAATTTCAGATTAAGTTGGTATATCAATATGTTATTTGCCCACAATCATCCCGGAATTGTCATTTATGATACAAACTTGAATGCTTAATATTGAGGTAATATTACAGATTTATACCTAAAACATAATGGTATTAATACGTCATGATCGTGTTAAAAAATTTGAAGTTAGAAAATCTTATAGGCTTTTACTAACACTGTAAATATTTCTATATTTAATCATACAACACTCATAGTATATTGGGATAACATTTGCCATATCTAGGCTGATGAGATACTTCAATAAACAATCCGATTAATCCCGGGAAGACAAATACTTGTTTAAATATTCACAAAGTATTCCCATATACACCAAGAATATGATACTCCCTCCGTTCCCAAAAATACTTCTCACTTTCCTTTTTGGGCCGTTCCCAAAAATTCTTCCCAC